AAAAAGAAAAGAAAAGAAAAAAGGTTTAAAAAAAAAAACCCTGGACCATGGGAAATGCAGGAACTCCTGCAACCTCTGACATTTTTCTTCAATCTCTAACTATAATTACCCTAGAGACTCCAGGCAGAAAGTACTTCACAGCAGTTTCTGAACGTCTTTTTCTCTTTCTTCTTTTTGTTTCAGAGATGGGTAAAAATAACCAAATAGGTGTTATTGCCCTGATGTCTGCATTAGCAATATTAAGCTGCTGGCCCTTCAGCCTAAAGGACTTAGAACAGACTGCATAAGGGCAATGCTAGAGTTAGGGATGCCTTTGTCAAAGGGGAGTAGTAACTCTTTTTCCTCTAGGGAAAGAATATTAATCTAAAAGAGCTTGTAATAACATTGACATCCATCAATATTTAATCAGTGTTTTTCCTGTTTTAGTCTGGATGTCTTCCTTCAGGAGCATAAAGCAGTGGAATCGATACATGACTTACACAGAAAAGAAAAAGCCACATGGTCTCACAGTTTCATGCCCCTGGTTACACCCTGGGAGGCACGCTCCTGTACAATCAGGCTGTGAGAAAAATGACCTGGAAGGCAGAACCCAGGGGACTGAGCTCCTGCCAGCAGAAGTGCAGCTCATACATCCAGATCTTCTATCTGATGGAAAAACACTATCAGAATAATATTTTCATAGGCAACGAGAGAATAGAAGGAATTCAAAGAGATACCAGCTACTCAGCCACATGCTATAGCGAACATTTTCCAGTTTCACAATATGGACTTTAGGAATTAAAAATGGATAAAGAGCTCTCATAAAACCATCAAAAATTACCTGTTATCCGAGCAGTTAGGATTATCAGCACAAATCCAAGTGTCGAGAAATTCTCTTTTCTGGTAATTAGTAGAGGAAGGCAAAACTCTCCACTTAAGGCAAAGATCTGATCATGAGAACAAAATTATACACAGAAGAGACCACGATCAGAAGTGAATATCTCACAATAAGATGTTACCCGCACCAGTACCCAAAGTGGCAAGTCCTTCATCGCATACCATTATCTTAGACGGCAAACTATTCTAGGGTTCTATATTCTACTATTCTAGGTCTCACAAAGAGATTGTTGCCATCATCATTATTGTTGATATGGTGGTTGTTGTTATGGTTTTAAGTCCCTCCAGTTAGTCTCTGTTACTTTTAGTCAAAAGAATCTTAAGTAATAGATTCTACTCTACTTCTCAATCTACATCAGGAATTCCAGTGGTGCATCCTTTTCCGCAGCCTCTTACCCACCTGCCCACAATACTGCCCTCTGTCTCCTCCTAGCAACCAACATAAGAAAGAAAATCAAGGTCTCTGAGTCATTTAAACATTTTCTTCCTGCTCTTTCCTGTGCTCTTAACCTACTCTCCAGTCTGCAGTTTCTGACTGCTTTGTCCATTTCTTTTACAGTCCCTCCTGGCCTTTACACCCAAGGTATGCTATGCTCTCCAGGGTACACAGAGACTTGACCCACATACAATCGGGCCACAGTGCTGCTAGCTCATGGATAAATAACCTGCCTCTGTTCATCCCAAGCAGAGGCAGTTTGCGGAGTGGTTAAGAATGTGAACGTTATCCCCTCTTACCACCCCTATGATCTGGGGCAAATAACACCTCTTTCTCAGTTTTGTCACATTCATCTGTAAAAAGATGAACACTAGGACTTGTCCGAAAAGGTTATATGACAATGAAACGATGTGATAATAAGAATGCAGGCTACCACTGCTAGACATTTTCCTAGGCATTCAGTAAATTCCATACTTATTAATTCATATGATCCCCACAATAATTCTACAAAGTAGCTACAGGAGCTGGTCTCATTCTAAAATGGAGAAACTGAGCATTTGAGAGGTCAAGTAATTTGTCCTGCTCCATACAGTTCTCAAATACCAGAGATCAGATTTTAGCAGTGCCCAGCATACAACAGACAACAACGGTAACAGAGCACACACACACAAATCGACAGCCATTATCATGATCATCCAATAGGTTTTACATACTGCCAGTCAGTTTCCTCAGTCATATGTTTTAAATATCCAGCATGCATGTTCCTCTTAAATCTCACTGTCATGATTGATATGGACACTAATTTCTCACCTAGACATCAGATCACAACAGCACTGTACCTCCGAGTTCTGACCCTCCTTTTGTTTTTGCCCTGCCCCAAATCATGCTTCAGGGAGCTTCCTTACTACAAGCTACTGCTGACTCGTCAGGTTGTTCCTGAAAGACTCTCAAGTAAAAGGTTGGGGAGGGTCTCCGCTGGCACTGTGTAAAGGTGCTTATAGTCTTACACAGCGTAGGGGGCTTTTTTGGTTTACTTCTCTGTCTTATTAACTGGACTGTTTCTTATGGAAAGTGCATTGTCTTTAATTCCACAACCCTTTATGTAGCGGCTAGAAAATATCTTAAATGCTCAGTGACACAATGATGCTATTCTTCTGCTGAAAATGTCCAATACTTCCCAATTGTTCATCAAAGTAAAACCCCACCCTGGAATTCAAAGCTTCTAATATACATACCCAAAATATTGTTGCCTTTTACTGTTTATTCATTATTTATTCACTCAGTTGTCAATTTTACAATTACTACTATGTATTAGACACAGTATTACATATTACAAACAGAAAAATGAGCTGTCCTGCTTCTCTACCACAAGTATTTTAGCCGAAGTTACCCTTGATATTATCTCACCTATCCCTGTGCTTCATTCCTGCTGGCGAAACTCAACAGTAAAGACTATCATGAATGCTACCTCTGGCACAAAATCTTGCCACTAGTCCCACTCCTTCTCCTTGAACATTCAAAGAACTCTTTGCCACTGGGGATATAGGTCAGTGGCTTAAGCGCCTGCCTGGCAAGTGCAGAGTTGTGAGTTCAATCCCCGGTACCACAAAAAAAAACCAAAAGAACTCTTTGCCTCTGTTATTTCATTTACCTCATTTCCTCTGTATTATAGTGATTTTAATCCCTCCCTTAGATTGTAACCTCCTTGAATGCCAAGAAAACCAGATAAAAGCATGTTTTCCCCAGCTTCATCTCCCTAATCACTTCTTAACACCATCACTTGTACATCTGGAAACTCATTCCCATTTGCTAATTAGAAGGGAAGTCAATACTCACCACACTGCATGATGACTGGAATGGTCAGAGCTTGTCTCCTCTGGTGTGGAAGAGAATCTAAAGGTTTCTCTGCATCTGTGTTATTCCAGGACCCAAACTCATTCCGAAACAACGTTAGATTTCTATTACCTAAAGGCAAGAAAGTAGCCAAAGAATAATGAAAGAAAATAAAATCAACATGATCAAAATAAGGCTGAATATAACACAAGTGCATACACTATGATCTTTACTGTGTAAGATCTGATATACATACAGAAATAAGAAATTAACATATTGACATTGGTTATCTCTAAACAGTGATGTTGTAGAGGAAGTATTTTCTCAGTTATATTTTCTTGAGTTTTACAAATTATCTGCAATAAATATGTACAATCTTTATAATAAAACCAGAGATAAAGGTTAAAAAAAGAGAGATAAAAAAGGTACTTTTTTATTTAGAAAGTTCAATAAAGCATACTGACATTTAAAGTATTGTTCTTAAACTTTCCCAGGAAGGACTGTACTAATTAAACTTTAAAGGACACTTTAAAAATTACCAATACAAGGATTTATCATTTCTATCACACAGCCAGAGTTTCTTTATCTTTACATTATCTTTGGTTCCTTTTCTTCACAGTTTTTATTGTTTATGTCCTACCCCAGCCCCAAGTTCTGTATTCCTGCCTGGTTGGGAACCTTCACATGGATGGCCATTAGATAATCCTTAAAAAGACTGTTCTTTTATCTTTTGATCTAGCAATTATACCGCTAGAAATATACTACAGCAATACAGAATAGCAAACAACTGGAAACAGAGTAAAAGCCTATGGATATACAACTGATAAATTCTACTTCCAGACAATGGAACGCTGGGAAACTTTTCAAAAGCAGGAAGTAGAACTACATGAAGTATTCCATGCAGACATCCAAGATAATGTTTCAAATTAAAAAGACACAAGCACACCCTATTATAAGTTTCTAAATTTGTAGAAAGCAAATACATATACAGCTCTGATGGGTGTCATTTCCTCCCTAGAAAGGGTGAAAAAGGAAGTTTTAAGAGTGAATACCTTTAGAGAAGAGAAGAGGCTGAGAAGAAAGCAAAGAAAAGTACTTTTCCTTTTCACTTTTGTCAACACTTTAATATTTTACCCATGCACGTATTACTTTAAGAAGGTTTTTTCAAAACAAAGAACAAAAAGAATCCATGTTTTACTACGGTAACCAATGTCTTTGTGGCCACTGAGCTTTTGAAATGTGGCAGACATAGGACATTTTCATCAATGTACAAACTTCAAAAAGTGTGTTCTGAAATTTAAGCCTTGGAAAAACATGAAACAGGGCCTGTCACTCTCATAACAATTTTAACTCTTGACTGTGTGATTCACGTAAGACACAAATAAATGACCTCACACATTACTGTTCCTAATAAAATTCAGGCTCGGAATACTATGTACTTTTAATACCAATAGGGGAAGAAGTCAGTTATCAAAAGTCAATCCTTGGGCTGGACCGAAAACAAACCTCACGAATTTCTGGGCTCCTGTCCTGGCTCCTCACAAAACCCCTAGCTGCTCTTGCCTGCAAATTTTCCTACAGTTCTGCTTTCAGCATTTTCAACTCAGACTGTGAATTTCTGCTTCACCTAGCATTTTGTCTGGTCTATCTCATAACCCCCTTCTCTGCACACTGATCCTGATGCACTACTCTTTGAAACTGGAGCAAGTTTGTGAGGTTTTGCTTCTCTGATTTCCATAGTAACTCTTTTGTCTTTACTGGGTCCAGACGGGGTGCTGTAGATTAAAAGGACATGGAGATGGGTGCTGGCTTCTATCTGGATGTTATGGCATATCTAGACGTGCACCCCAAATCCTCGTATGCTCAAAGGTGGGGCTTTTGGGAGGTTCTTGCATCATAGGTGTATGATACTCATCACTGCATGTTAGTTTACTGGTGGGTTGATAGCTGTGTGTGATGTTGGGAGGTTAAGCCTGACGGGAGGAAGTAAGTCATTGTGGGTGTAGCCTGGAGGGTAAACATCCCTCCTCCTCTCTTGATTCCTCTCTGCTTCCTGCCTTCCCTGCCACGGACTGTTTCATTTCTGCTGTGCCCATCTGCCACGCTGCCCTGCCTTGGAACCAACTTACTGTGGGCTGAAACCTCTATAAACCATGAGCCAAAATAAGCCTCTCCTCCTTTAACTTGTGGGGGTAGGGTATTTGCCCAGCAAGGAGAAAATAATTGAGATGGTCATGTATTTGTTGTGTAATTGTGGGCAAGCCATTAAGTTCTTTTACCCATAAAGTGAGTGATTACATTCACTTGCCTTACAGGATCACCATAAATACTAACTGTGAAGGCATATTGAAAATGATAGCCTGGAGGACTCTGGAAAGATGGGAGAGGAGAACGACCAGCAATCTGTTTGAGTACTTTGACAGCAGTGGCTGAATTTAATGTGACTCTTTTGGAATTCTGGAATCTACTATAAGCTGCAACTTCCAAGGGAAGGCTTGGATGATAAGCTGCAGACAATCTGAATCATTTCTGCTCTTCGCCAGAAGCAGCTACTTCTCCTGTACCCCTTCACCCTGTGGTAAGCAGCTATGCTCCTGTGAACTGCACCAGTTTGCACACAGCTTGTATACAGGACTTGGGGAGGGCAAAAATGACCCTGTCCTCCCAATACCGGGTACCACTGCTCTGACCGCTAACTGTGTCTTGTGATCACAGAAATGGAGATGAAGTAGAAACCACTGCGGTTATGCCTCTCATTACTGCAAGCTCCTTCCCTGGAGAGAGCTCTTTCTCAACTTTTTGTCTTTTTTGAATGGCCTTTTTGTTTTTGACTGCTTTTTGTTGTGCAGTAAAAGATTTATTTAGACAATGTTTTCAACCTCAAAATCGTTTTCCCTCTTTGAAGTCGAGACATTGAAGACTAGTACACTCAAAAGCAACCAGATGTGCAGAAGAAATTAAAAAGCCACCAGTAAAGAGCATAGGATCAGAAAAGCCTGAAAAGAACTTCAGCCTCTGTGGAGGCTGATCCTCTGCGGAGGCTGATCCTCTGCACAGACATTGCCTTTCAACAACTAAAAAACAAGTAAATAAATACCAGCAAGTAGGGAGAAGAAGGGTCTGATTTACAGAGTTACAGTGCTAACAGACTCAGATGCACAATTTACAGAACAAGACTCACAATAAATACAAAGAAATCAGAAAATACACTATGATTCCTTCAAAAGAAAAAATAAACCATCAGTAAGTGTTTCTGAAAAAGGCCTAATAGAAAATCTAGCTCAGCCCCACGCGCCCTGCGCAGCGAGAGCCAGTGTTCCAGGAGTGGCTAGAC